TTATTTTGAAAAAAAAAAATTATGTAGTTTGTGGTCGTTATGAGGACAAACAACATCGATTTTAAATATTTTACTTATAGTTATTAATAAACTTGTAAAATTAAATAAATATTGTTGAAACAGTTATCTTATTTGATAGGATACTTACGGTTAAATAAACTCTTAAATTTTATTGAGAAAATCATAAAAGTATTTAAGAATCTTGAATAATATAAATAAATAAAATATTTTATTTATTAAATTTTGAATTATAATTGTTTATAGAGCACTCAACTTGAAAATTAATTGCTCAAATAAAATAATAATAATAATAGTTAAAATGTCAAGAACATTTTTATTAATAATTGAATGAAAAATTTCAAATAATTTAAGTCTTAATAATTAAAAAAATTACGCAACTTGATGATTATATTAATCATCTAATGGTCACTTGAAGATTCGTTAACTCTATTAGCTTTGCGACCAAAATTTGAAAATACAAACCATAAACAATGACGATTTTTGTGGGATCAAAATTCAATCTAATAAAACTAAGGTGCAATCTAATTTTAGTTCTAAATACAAGAGTTTATTTTTTTTTAAATAATGATCTAGTTAAATGAATTCTTCCATTTTTCTAGTTTGTTAGATTATGTATATATTCCACGTGTGCATGATTTCGGTAATATTTTAGGTATCTTCTCTTAATTAAAGTTATGTATATATCTTAGAAATTATTTATTATATAAAATTCACCTCTCAACTAACTTATCATGTTTTACCAAGATTTATCGTTTTGTTAAAAGATAGGTAAACAAATAGTTGAGAATATTTAGATCTTTTATAAGTATTTATTATGTTGTTTTTGTTGCATAATTTTTTGTTTAAATAAATTTTATATATTAAAATCATTATATATGATTACGATTTTATCATCAAAATTATATTAAAAATAAGGACGTTATTCAAAACAAAAATTCAATATCATTTCAAAACTTTGTTGTTTGGTTAATGTTGAGTTGATTTTTTAGAGATATTGAAAAAAACGGTTTGGGAGATATGTGGAAGAAACCAAATTCTTGAAGAATAATGGTGTGAATATTGTGGTTGATTTTTAAGAGATGTGGAATGTTTTGTTCATTTAATTGTATTAAATGAGAATTAGTGTATTACTAATTTGAGGTTAAAAATATGTCAAATAAAGGGAATTTAGGTACATATTAGTTATTAATAAAAAAAATATAAGATCGGATATATATTATGTTATTACTAATTTGCCATTAAAAATATACCAAAGTAAGGGTATATTAGTTAGTTCTTTTTTTTACAAAAACACTCGTCCTTTTATAGTAGTATTTTGAGTTACCATTTTAGTTAGCACAACATTTAGACATAGAATATAATAAAACATTTGGACTAAATATTACATAAGATTATTTTGTAGATATTGTTTACAAGAACCAATTTGTTTTGGTGGACTTATGTGGAAGAGTTATTTTTTTTCCAATAGCTACTTAGCTAAGAGAATCATAACGATTTCTTCAAAGACTACCTCAATCTCCATCATTTTTAGTAAAATTTAGAATTATTTGAGTCATACTTTGGGCGTGTATCGTAATAGTTTTCAATGTTACGCCGTTATTTATTTAATTAAATATTAGTGGTTACCAAAAAAAATAAGATTTGAAGAGTATTAGTGTATTACTAATTTACCATTAAAATTAAGTCAAAATAAGGGTTTTTTAGGTAGTTCATTTGTTAACTAAAAATATAAAATAAGATGGATATTACTGTATTACTAATTTGCCATTAAAAATATGTCAAAGTAAGGGTCTTTTAGACAGATCATTATTTTTACAAAATCACTCGTCCTTTTATAATAGTATAGATAGATATAGATAGATATAGATATATATTTAATTATTTATGAGAAAATAACTATTTTTATCCTAGAAGATGGAATATGTTTTACACTTCGTCAAATAACGAGCTAACTTTTTAATCTCATAAAATGCGAAATAAGTTATACCATAGGGTATGCGACAGACGAAGGCAATTAATAAAGTGCAAAACAATTATGCGATACCTTATATAAATTACAGATAAAAATAATTGATAAAGTGCAAAATAGTTATGAGATAAACTATGCAACAAACAAACATGCGAACTTAATTGATAAAGTGCGAAACAATTATGCGATAAACTATGCGACACACCGAATATAATTGATAAACTGTGAAATAATTATGCGATAAACTATGCGACACACCGAAGATAATTGATAAAGTGCGAGAAACAATTATGTGATTGAGTATGCGATAGACAGACGAATATAACTGATAAAGTGCGAAACAATTATGCGATAATCTATGCGACAAACAGAAAAGTACAATTATGCGGAAAAGGAGTAAAAGCGAGGGGCATGGAGAGACTCAAGCTCAAATAATCGACCCATCTCGCGACCCGTCTCGAGAAGACGTCCAGTCTGTGAATCCTGAACCCGAACACCAGAAGTTGAAAATGTAACATTAAGTCCTTGTTCAACAAATTGACCAACAGAAATAAGATTCAAGGCAAAGTCGGGAATGCAACATGTGTCGGGAAGATACAATGAAGGGGAAGAAACCAGAACAGTGTGACTAGCATTCATATGAGTACTATTGGCAGTATGTATAGGAGGCAAAGAAGTTACGGAAGACAAGGAAGACAAAAAATGTGGACTGAAGGTCATATGATTGCAATAGCTAGAGCCAAAATGCCAATGAGTTTTACTTGTGATAGCAAACAAAGTAGAATTGGAATGGGTAAACTATTTAAGAATAGCTTCTATGTCTTGAAGAGTGTAAGACGAGTGCTGAGGCTCATTAGTGACAGCTGCTGTAACAGAAGAAGAAGAAGACCCACGAGACCATCGATATCGTGAAGACGAACCTCCCGAACGTTGTGATCTGGTTGGATAGTTTTGAGCAATATGCCCCTGAGCATGGCGATGTGACACTCCACTTTAGGACAACAGACATAAGTGTGCCCAGAGCTCTTGAAAATCATATATTTTCCAGAGATTGGTGGCTGAGACTGATGTTACAGATCTGAAGCAGACGTAGGCACAACTAATGCTGACTCAAGTTGTGGTGTCTTGTCCAACTGAAGATGAGTCTCCTCAAATGTGATCTCATAAATAGAAGCATCAAAAGTAGGTAGAGGATGACGATGTAAGAGAGAAGCACAGACATCCTCATACTCAGGATAAAGAGCAATCAAAATATGAATAATATCAAGATGATCCGGACTAATCTCAGCCTGTCAGGGACGATACCTAATAGGCTGTACTTGTGCAAGAGACTCTTGACCGATTGACTAAGTTGCTACTTGGCATAATGCAAGGTACTCCAAAGCTGGTAATAGTGAGCCAAAGCCTATAGTCTGAAACCGAGCAGCCAAAAAATCCCAAGCCTCATTCTCACTTTCAAACAGTGCAAGCTGCACCTGAATAGCAGAGACTGAGGTGTTATGTAACCAAGTAAGAATATGATGGTTCTTACAATTCCAATCCTCCAACTTAACAACATATGCCGTAAGAGCCTATGGGGTGGGGATGGTGTCCGACGGATGCACATGTGACAATATGTCACCAGTCACAATTTCCTTCCAATTAAAAAACTTTTCACGGATTGTGCCTAGGCACATCAAGACGATACATATACAAAAAATTGTAACAGATAATCACCAACACAATATTATGCCGCAAATGAATCAAAGTATGAATCGGAGCACGAGTCAGTCAAGTTTTAGTACGGGAAAGAAATTAAAAAGGTCACAAATACTAAATCTGATTCGACAAGGATGTAGCCAACGATGAGAGGAGTCGACGGCTGAAAGACGGCGACGAACAAGATGGAGGTGAAGCACACGCTCCGACGGAAGATGCCGACGCTGGAAAGAAGACGGGGTGCGTGTGACCTTCACGCGCCGGCTAAGCCTCTGAAACATCCGGTGACTACTCGCTGTGGGACGCTGGAGAGGATGGCGGGTGGTGGTGAGAGTCAAAGACGGCTGGAGAAGAGTGACGAAGGATCTAGCCTATATGTGACTCTAACCCTAGTCTGATAACATGTAAGAATGTGAGTAAATTATATTTCTTGTATTAACACAGAGTATGTACACATATATAAAGACCTAAGATGAGTCTCCCATTGTTTGAGCCTAAACTTAAACCCTACAATACACAATACAACAAATATAGATAACCAACCAATTTTGTTATGGAGCCATCGGATGACTCCGTTTATGAAGTCATCCATAGTTATTCAGAAATGATGTATTGACACGTGTCCTATATAAATAACATTGAACATGTGTCAATATATAAAGCGATGGATAGCTCATAAGGGAGCCATCATCTGATGGTTCCATACAATTTATGTATAGCTAACATTACGCATAATGAAAATTCAAATATTTATATTCAGAGTGAACCTGTTCTGTAAACTAGCAAATTTTGCCAACGGAAAAGTCTATATATTTACATTTTTTGTTCAGAGAGTAAAGCACTCTGTGCATAGCCCATATAAATTGTTATAATATTATTAACAAACTTTCATAATCTGATCTATGGCATATGAATAATAATTTTGTGAGACAAGAAATATTAGTCTACTAACCAAAGGCAAAATTACCATGACATATGTGTGGACTATTTTAATGACACTGGAAACCAGATGCTGGCGATTATAAAGAGCGAAAAATCTGATATTTGCATAGCTCATAAAGAAAAAAAATAATGCCACAAATGTCTCATTAACTGGTCAATATTATAATCTCAACCAAAAATATCATGTCTAATTTGGAACTGAATTCACCATTAAAACTGTAAACTCGTAATCTTCTCTGAAATTAAATTAAATCCGATGACAAGAGATAGAAAGGACCCAACCCAAGCGGCATAGCCATAGCTTTCTATATAACAACTATTTCCTCACATATCTACTCCAAGAAACAAAACCAAAAGCAAAAGCAAAAACATGGGCAGTATCAAGCCAATCCTCCTCATCACACTCCCAGCACTACTACTAATCTCCCTCGTCCCCATTTCCCAATGCCGCAAGCGGCAGGCCCACGGCTTCACGACCGACCTAATCCACCGCGACTCCCCCGAGTCCCCATACCACGACCCCACTCTATCCCCCGAACAGCGTCTCGTAAACGCCATCCGCAGATCGCTGGCCCGCGCCCACCACCTCGACTCGAAGCGGGCCCGCCTCCTTCATTCCCCCACCGCCGAACTCTTCCCGGCTGGCGGCGAATACCTCCTGAATTACTCCATCGGCACGCCACCTGTCCCGAACATCGGCATCGCCGACACAGGCAGCGACATCACCTGGAACCAGTGCCAGCCGTGCACTGAGTGCTTCAACCAGTCGCTGCCCATCTTCGACCCGAGAAAGTCGCACACGTACAAAACAATCCCCTGCGGCAACCCCCGCTGCAAGGCCCTGGGCTCGCCCACATGTAGAAAGGAGAGTCGACGTCCCAGCAGCTGCCACTACTCACAGATGTACGGCGACGGGTCGTACACAGAGGGGGACCTCTCGACCGACACAGTCACGCTGGCCTCGTCGGGCGGGACGGCGGTTTCGGTCCCCGGCGTTGTGGTCGGGTGCGGGCACCGGAACGCGGGGATCTTCAGCGGGGTCGAGTCGGGCATAGTGGGTCTTGGGGGCGGGAAGGCGTCGCTCGTTGGCCAGCTGGGCAGGCTGGCGGGAGGGCGATTCTCGTACTGCCTGGCGTCTGAAAAGTCGAGGTCGAGCAGCAGGCTGAGCTTCGGGGCGGATGCGGAGGTCAGGGGGCCGAGGGCCGTGCGGACCCCGTTGGTGCGCCAGGGGATCGATACCTTCTACTACCTGACGATGCTGGGGATCAGTGTCGGGAGCCGGAGGCTGGCGTTCAGCGAGGGCTCGTCGTCGTCATCCGTGGGGGGGAATATTATCATAGACACGGGGACGACGGTGACGTTGCTCCCCGGGAGTCTGTACGAGGGGCTGAAGAAGACGCTGCAGGGGATGGTTCGGCTGAGGCAGATACCGGACCCGACGGGGACGCTTGACCTGTGCTTTGAGACACGCGGGAGCGTGGTGGGGCTTCCGGAGGTCACGGTGCACTTCGAGGGGGCCGACGTGAAGTGGGGGCAGGAGAATTTGTTTGCGAGGACAGGCGACGTGTCGCTCTGTCTGCTGGCCTTGCCGGCACTGGGGATTCCCATTTATGGTAACATGGCACAAACGAACTTCCTGGTGGGGTACAATCTCCGGAAGGGGATGCTGTCCTTCAAGCCTGTACGTTGTGGTGGCAAACCTTGATAATTGTCTTGCTTCTCATGCTTCTAAATTCGGGTTAAAATTGAAGTATTATAGACTTTTAAAATGCATGCCCTTGTGTCTGCTATTTTGTTATAAAAAATTATTTTTATAAAATATTAAATATATTTTCATATAATAATCTTTGGTGGTGAATTAAAAACAATCTAAAATGGTGTGTAAAAGGGTTTTGACCGGAATCGAACGACTTGGATTTGCTTCTTTACTGGTTCAATGATCTAAACTTGAAAAATGGTACGAGAGATGCTCCCGACTTTAACATTGCGACGATCATGTCAGTCCACATTGCTCAAGATGACGACAATGAACACTAGATATATTAGCTTGTAACTATATTAGAGTGTGTAGAGTTTGAATTGGGGTGTTATCTTATTGCGTATGATTGTCCGAATGGGCTGCCCGAACTGCCCGTTTGTACATCCAATGTCGTACACTTTTGGATGTTAGTCTTACTTTCGGGGATGATCAAAAGGTTCTCCGAAAGAAAACAAGAGAGGGAGAGAGTTGTGAGGTAGAAAAACATCTTTTGTTGTCACATTTTAAAATCAGTCATTGAACTTCGGCAGTCTCTAGCCTTGGATGTGAGCAACTACCATTGGGGTGAATGGATTAGTAGCCGGTGAAGCGGCCGGTTTAAACTTGAAGAAGACGTTTGGTTTCCTTAAGATATCTTATGAACTCACAAAAATTGTGTCTTAAGATTGAAGTTTATTGTGGTTTGTGAAGATCGAGGAGATAACTTAAGGACAATGAAGAAAAGAAAGGCAAAATCAAAGTCGACGCACGTAATAGTTACGTTCTAAGACGAAATTGCCCCGTAAAATACATATGATTAATGCAAACGTCTCCGAGATACAACAACTTTTGACTTGTGTATAGTAGTATTTCAAATATACAAACATTCAGCGAACAATACTAATGTTCTCAGTACTCAACAAAACAAATATCAAAGAACGCGATATGATTTATAACCTTTAAAAGTGTAATGCTAGAGCTCTTAATTTTCAAGTAAATGTTTAATGATTCAACAGTGTGGGTATTAATAGATGTGGAATAGGGGTATAAGGCTCAAAAGACACCTTTACGGGTGAATCTCGTTCAACACAGATGCAACCAATCGAGCCGAAAGCTCTTGGTTGCCAGCAGGTGCGACCTAATGTCGTGCCGTGACGAGGGTCGTGCCTCTTGTCGCGCCCTACAGAGGCTATGTCATCGCACTGACAATCGTCGCTCCCTGACAGGACTTGGCGCGCACCTGCGCCCAAAGGTTGTACGCACTCGTCCAAACGTAAAATCGTGTTCTATTTTTCCTACTCGTCCCAAACAAACCCTTCTATAGTTCTAGCATAAATAATGCACGATTATGGCTCATTTGACTTGTCTAAACATTCGTCAAAAGCAGAATGTTTACAAATCCTACAACCTTTAAATTACTTAAACTCAATTATTCCAATATCATTTAGAATTAATTTCCCATTTAAACCTAAAATAGTTTTGAGATATTTTTAAGCATTCCATTTACAAAAAAGGAACCGTAAAATCAATATGAAACCAAATTTTCTTACAAATAGCATTATATAGTCTATTTCTCAAACACCGGTTGCATCATAAAATTCGACAACACGCCAAGTAATATCGGTAGTACAAACCAAACCCTGTTGAACATCATCGGATGCCACAAGTAGTTTTTAAGGCTGATCAAGAGTACGACTCTGAATCACTTCCATTTCTTGAACCTCATGAACTTGTGCTTCCCGAACATGCCGTGCTTCCAGCGCTTTCCAAACTTACCATGCTTGAACTTTCCGTGCTTGAACTTCCCATGGTGGCCATAAAACCCGCCATGATGGTGGTACCCACCGTGCGCCAAGTGGTGGGCCCCATATGCTGCTGCAGCTGCTGCCGCCCCTCCAGCTAGCATTGCCGGAAAATGGCCTGCAATATTTGTTTGTTATATAGTTTTTACTTGGAATGAATTATTATTATTATTATTTCAGCAAAATAAAATCTTAAGGCAACACATCAGGACATGACACAGCAACTCAATTCAGTGATTTCTCCAAGTGAGTTCAAGCATATATTTGGGATTACCTATGGTATTAAAGGACTTTGATGTAACACAAAACATTAGCTATCCCATTGAAGAACTCTGAAAAACAAAAATTCTACACCTGTAACACCTCCACATAATGCATTTCAAATTTTAGCTAATTCCAGAGCATTCTTTAACTTATGAAATTTGTGCTTAAAAATTGGTAGTTTGGACATTGATGCCATCTTTTTGCAGAAGTAGCAAAAGTTGTAAATAAATTTATGCAAGAACAACATATGAGGGATCCCAATACAAGCCCGATTACGACTTTCACTTGTAATTCACCAAACAATACATCACACCTGCCATTTATGGGACATTCAGTTAGAAACTTAAAAAGAATTGCATTGATCCTACTTATGAAAGCAATGGACAACCCATAGATCTAACCACGAGATATATCGTCATCAATCACCATGCTTTGCATACATAGACTAAAAAAAAAAAACTCGATCCACAAAGGAAAATTCCAACAGAACAGGATTAAACAGAGATGAAATTAATGTGTGATTAACTTTGACGAATTAATAAAGAGATACCTGAAAGATGAGACGAGCTGGGATAACCCGATGGATGGTATCCTTGCGGGGGAGGATATCCAGCAGGTGGATATCCTGCCGGAGGATAACCGGCCGGTGAGTATCCTGCCGGAGGATAACCGGCCGGAGGATATCCAGCTGGTGGGGGAGGATATCCAGCAGGTGGAGGATAATGTCCGGCTCCAGCTGCATAGGCCGCAAGGTGAGAAAACATTCCCTTCTCTCGACTTTCAGGATTGTCCTGTCCACCTCCCATCTTTCACTCAAAACTACACCAACTGTGACCAAACAAAGAACCGATAAAATCACGAATTAGAAAACAAAAATATCTAACACCTTTACCAATATTATAATGCTTGACATACACAGTGTATTCACGGAAACCTGAAAAAGAAAATAATAAAACAAAAAACAAAAAGAGAAAAAGAATCTGTATTCTGGGTAAAGGTGTGTGTTTGGTGTTCTTTGATGAGAAACATGGCTACCACATGGATCAAGATTTGGAAGGGCAGAATGCATACTTTTTTTATACCTACCATATCAATCAAAACGATCAATAGTTTCACCAACGGTAAGAACCATTTCATTTCATCTGAGTTAAAGATATTTCTCAATTCACTTTTTCAGCTTTAATAAGCAATATTAAATAATTTGATGATTATTGACGAGTGCTACTTATCTAAAACATTACGTTCCAAGAGAGAGAGAGAGAAAGAGAGATGTTATAGTGTACATCAAAGTTAAATCAGAAGGGGCATATGATCATTGATGATTAGGTCACAGATAAATTAACAATTGGAACAAGATCAGAAGGTTATACGTGTACTCATGCACCTACACCAGATCGCCAAAGCAAATAGGATTAAGGAGAAGAAAACCCAATAGCATCACTATGGATAAAAACGAGACTCCAAAAATAAGAAAATAAAGCCAGAATATATATAAAGGAGAAACAACTTGAAAATCACATACATATTCAGGTAAATCAGTGTTCAACAAACATACAAAATAAAAAATCCTTCAAATCATCCGAGTATGAATTCTGCCAAAGCTTCAGGTGTGCCAGTTTTACCTGAAATTTTTTTGCTTTTTCTTGGAGGTGCTTTTTCGCTCTACAGAGATTGAGCGAAATTCTAGTCGGTACTTTTNAAATCTATTCGGCACTTTCAAGATAATGTATAATTTTCATTCGTAATTCACGCGTTTCTTCCACGCGTACGCTTGATGAGGATATTATAGCATGATTGGATACAAAACATCTCAAAAAAATCTAAACATTTTTAACTCAACCATTTTTTTAATTCAACCACTTTTTTAATTCAACTTTAACTCAACTCAACTATCATCAATTTTATCAATATAATTAAATAATATTCATCAGTCATTCTTACACACTACATCAACCTTAATTCACTATTCATCCACTCCATAATTTTATATTTATCCACTCACATAATTTTAACGCGTTTAATGCACCAAATCCCCCTGTATTATACTAAATTCGTGCGTTTCCCCCTTGTATTTTAAAAATTGCCTCAGACCCCTTTGTAATGTAGTTTTGCATGCGCGAAACACCCTAAACCGTCTAATATGATGGAGGTAGCGTGTTGTGCGGCTTTTTCTTCATTTTTCACCCAAAGTGGCGGAAATTACTGTTTTATCTTTGAATTATGTACAAAATCTAAACGGTATGAAATGTGGGTTGGAAAGGAAGGTAATGGCCGCCCAACCACTAGGCCATATGGATGGATGTGTAATTTATTGAACATAAATATATCTATACATCATATTGAAAGAAATTAAATAGTTTCAAATAAGTAAATAAATAAAATAAAAGGATAATATGTAAATTTACTATAAATTAAATATTTAATAATAATAATACTAATAACTTCCAATAAATTAAATTAACTTAAAATAATGAAAAAAATAAATTAAAATAAAGTAAGATAAAATTTAATGTATCAGCGTGAACTAAAATTAAATAAAGTTATAATTAAATTTTAAATGAGAAAAATAAATACAAAAATGAAATTAATAAAAATAAAATTAAAATAAACTAATTAAAGAAAAATAAAAATAATAATTATATAAGATAATAAAGTATAAAAATTATAAAGTAAAATAAATAATAAATCAAATATCTTATTATGAAATAATAAATTAAATAAATAAAGAACTGAAATTAATATAATATATATAATAAAAAATACTATTTATCAAATAATTTTAATATGATTTACTCTTAATAAATATATTACTATTTAATATAAAAACAAAATGATAATTTTATTTTAATAAATTAATAATATAAATGTAAAATAAATTGTAGTATAAAATTTCAATATACGTTTTAATGAATTACACTAGTACATCTTGGCCACGGGTGCTGTAGGTCATCCATGGATAATCGCGGATGAAGCTGTCAAGGCAACGAGAGAGGTAGTCCGCCGCAAGAATGAATACAAAAGGGGAAAGGGGGCCGCCCTGTCTAAGGCCTCTAGAAGAGGGAAAAAAGTCGGTGGGGCTGCCATTAACCAGGATAGAGAACGTGCAGTGCTCCACACACGCCTACACAAAATTGATCCAACGCTCAGGAAATCTCATCCTAGCCAGTGTCTCCCTCAGAAACGGCCACTCCACCCTATCATACGTCATAGCCATGTCTAGCTTCAGTGCAATATTCGGAGCTCGCTTCCAGTCCGCGTGGGAGATGTCGTGGATCATCTCTTGGGCCAAAATGATGTTATCACTAATGACCCGATCCTTGACGAAGCCACTCTGGTTCGGAGAGATAAGGGAGGGGAGAAGAGGGGAAAGACGACCGTTAAGAATCTTCGAAATGAGTAGTTGCTAGGTTAGTTGTCTGTTGTTGCAAGGTTAGTTTTCTGTTGTTGCTAGGTTAGTTAAATGTAGTTGCTAAGTCAGTTCAATGTAGTTGCAAGGTAAGTTGTCTGATGTTGCTAGGTTAGTTATGTCTAGTTGGTAGGTTAGTTGTCACGTCCACACACACATACACACACACATACACACACACACACACACATATATATATATATATATACATATTTAAATTTTTATTTACTTGAAATAAAAATTAAAATCCCGTCTATAAATATAAAATTACTAAACTTGATAATCTTTTTTGAAATTTTTTAACCAGCCTCTAGAAATTAATTAACCAATTTATGGTATAAAATTAACAATATTAATTAATCCAGTTTTGGTATAAAGTGGGCTATTTTATTTGAGGAATCTAATGGACATTTGCATTTTTTGGTATGAAATGTGTTGCTATTAATAAATGTCCGAAAATATGGTATAAATTGGGCGATTTCATTTTGGTATGAAATATCTGAATTTAACTTGTAAGAATTTTATTTGGTATGGATCGAATTGTAATTGGAGATTTTGAAAACAAAACAAGTAGTATGAATATTATTTAGTATGTGTATGAAAGTCGAATTTTAGGTTGACTTGTTATAAAATCAAGGTGATATGATTATCAAATTTTAGCACATTTCTATAATAAATAACTTGCCATAATATATTAATGATTATTCCGTAAACTGGTATGTATTCCTCTTGAAAATCAAAAAGATCTTTGAACAAATATTAGTTAATTACATTAAAATAATTTAATTATAGATAATTAGTTGATAATTTTGAATGATAAGGTAACCAACAACAGATCAAGAAAATTGCGAGATATATTAGATATATTATGAATATATAGTTGATAATTATGAAATATATGAAATATGTTAGAGAATATATTGTGTAAGATCTAAATTTGGGTTCCAGATTTAAAAGTCAAATAAGTGATTATCAATAACTTACGCGTCAATGTTAACTTGGAGCAAATGGAAGAGTCAATTATTTAGAGTTGATAAATTACCCAACTACTGAAATTTTGTTTTTTGGATAGTTTATAAAAAAAAAATGAACAATTTAAGTTTTATAATTATACATATTATTCAAATAGATTTTAAATATATGATAAAAATTTACCAAAATAATTATTTTATGGAATCACAATGTAGTCAAGTTGATTTTCTAAATAAAAATTTTAAAATGACACTTATTTTGAAATGAATATAATGTAATTTATTACCAGTTACGTACACTGTACAAATTGTGTACTAATATTAAACAAATACGTTTTATCTAATTTTGCCCAACTTAAATTTCTTATAAAATTTTTAATAAATTAATATAAGTAAATTGTACTTCCTCCTATTTTTATTATTTGTCACTATGGCTTGATTGATCATTGATTAAATAAATATCGTTTTGGCTATTTTTTTCATATCTCTATTTTTAATCCTCTATCTAATACACAGTGTCTCTTCATATCCATTTCCATCATTTCCCATAACATCTATTAAATAGGGTTAATATTGGCAAGAAAAAAATTCTTAATTAGCGTGTTGTTTCTTAAAACGACAAATAATAAAAATAGGAAGGAGTATTACATATTGATTCCATATTTTTAATTTCTAAATATTATTTATAATATTAATGAATATTTCTTACCCGTGCATTGCAGGGATTCGTACTAGTTACAGAATAACACTCAAGAAGAATTATTATAAAAAACATTCTAAAAGAGATAATCAGTATGGAGATTGCTTTCGAGAACTAGAAAGACATGTTAATCATTATGGAGATTGCTTTCAGCTTAATTACCTCTGGAGATAACCATTTTTTAAGCATTGAGTTTTAATTTCAGCTTAATTACATCCAGATTTATCTTCTTATGATATCTCAATCATGATGGTAATTAAGCTGAAAACTAAACTCAATGCTTAAAAAATTGTATCAGAGATGAAGATATCATAATAAGAAGATAAAATCTGGAATTAAGAAATGACTAAATGCTTTATTCAAAATGCAAAGTGAAAAGAAAACTCATTTACTATTCACCGAGGCCGAACTCATGAGTTCGTTCTGGCAGCGTGGTTTGGTGACCGAAGCCTCCATTGTGGGGGCATTCAGGGGGAAAGGCCGACCGGCTAGTGATGAAGCGGGTGCCTGGATGTGGGTGATGCTGGCTACCACATTGTTCATCGACAAGAGTGGTAGTAGAGTGACCCCCAAGCTCCTGCACGAGGTGCTCGACGGTTTGGATATGATTGGGGGTTCCTCATGGGGATCAGCTACGCTGGCATACTTGTACAGACAGCTAGGTATTGTCAGCCGAGGGGACTTCAGTGGACTGTCGGTCTGCAGGGCTCTTCTGCAGTCCTGGATATATGAGTATTTCCCCGATTTTCGACCCTAGGGGCATCTACCCATCGGTCCTGACTGTGTCGCACGATCTCGCTCGTGGAGCGTAGGGAATGCGCCAAGGTCAGACGATCGACTCACAGCCATCCGTCGGTGCCTCGACAGACTCACTGCCTCATCGTTAAGTTATTTTATTTAAATTTAGTTACTCGTTATTTAAAATAATATAATTATTTTTGTAAATGCTTTTATGCAATTGTGAACAGGTGCAATGGTTGTCATACGGCAGCTCCAGCCCAGATGCGATAGAGCCGAGGACTCTTTATTGCGGATTGATTCGATACCGCGATATTGTCGAGCCGTACATGCCTGTGCGGGTTCTACGTCAGTTGGGGTATGCCCAGACTGTCCCTCCCCCTACATACCCACCAATCAGTGCAGTACGTGCTTGGGAGTCTAGGAACTACAGGGTTGAGCATTCTGAGGCTGCTGCAATAGGTGCCTGGACCCAGTTCCCGATGTCTGGGACGGTCAACACCATTTTGTTGACCTCCTCCATACATGATCGCGGGGAAGCGACTGAGTAGTACTTACAGTGGTACAGTCGGGTTTCCTATCCGATTGTCATGGGCGAGGAGCTGCCGGACGAGAACGAGGTCCCTACGCGTGTCAATACCGCCTATATAAGTTGTTTACTAATTATTTTAATTAATGTTATTTAATTGCAATAATTTTTTTTAATAAATTTTAGTCTTATCTTTTTATTCTTCCATTTTTTTAGTGGGGGGACCGTCTTTTGGCAGCGGGGATGCGAATGTCCGGTGGCTGCGGAAGTCCAAGAAGAATTGGCTAAGTTTAAGTTAGATTACGACAATGCCCAATAATGATGTAATAAATGTTTTTTTTATTATTATTATAAAACATTAAGTTGAATAGTTTTTTTTATTTATTATTTGTAAAACATTAAGTTGAATAGTTTATATTAAAAATGAAAAAAAAAAAGTACCGTTAATGCAATTTTCGATTCCTCTGTAACATGATCATATGTTCCTACGCTTCGAGACAGGCTCGTTCTCCTGAGAGTCCCGATGGGTCGACTCAGGAGAACGAGCCTTCTCGAAGCGTGGCAACATACGATCATGTACAGAGCAATCGAAATCGCATTAACGGTACCTTTTTTTGTCATTTTTAGTATATAAACCATTCAAATTAATGTTTTTTTATTTGAATGAGTTTTTTTTTTCTTATTGTAAATCATTAAGTTGAATGGTTTTTTTTTTTTTTTTACTAAACTTAAGTTGAACTGATTCATTTTTTTTATTTGCTAGATTTAAGTTGAATGAGAAGCGTCATACCACAACTGAATAAATGCGTCAACGCTTTCGTGTTCGGATCGGATTCTGCATAAATTGTATACTCGCTGCTCATGGCCAAATGCATAAGCTGGGAAGGAACGTCTCTACCCTCGAAACTCTCTTTCCGCAGCTTATCTTTAAAGTTATATACCTGTCACTGATTAGCGTTAATTATAATGATTATTATAATTTAAAACAAAAAAATTATTATATTAATAAATAAAAAAGTATATTAATTAATTTAATTGATAAAAAAATATTAACTATCATAATAATAATATATTAGTAAATATAATAAAACTTATTAATTATTACAATAACTTTTAGATATAAAAAACTTACTAATTATCATAATTAACTTTAAAAAGTTAATTAAAACATATATTACAAGATATAAATATATATACTTGTCACACATGAACGTTGTCTCCTGGATTCTTTTCCTTCAGCGTGGCCATAATTTTTGTCGGGGCCACCTGAGCGTCCGTCATATCACGAACAATATTCTTAGATGAAGTGCTAAGACCGCTCAACTGGCGATGACCCTCAGGATACACAACAAAGGTATGGTTATGGTAGTCCTTCTCTTCCTTGCTACATCTACAGATCCTCCAGTATGGCTCGCCTGGCATCTTTTTTACTTTGATCTCAAAATCGCAATTGCACTTATTCGTATTTGTCTTTCTGGATTTTCCGTCTGTGCCTCTATAGCGTTCGCCTCTATGGCACTTCAAAAGTTTGACCGTTTTCTTTTTGTGTTTCGAAATTACTAATAGGAAACCATTCAGTATCGTCTGGTGTTTTGCAGCTTCAATAGCCAATGTATGGGTATCGAAACTGAGATTGTAATCAATACCATCTCCAAAATCTTCCCATGACTCCTGCTATATAGTACAATATTTATATTTTTAAAACATGTTAAAGTATAATCTATTCACTCTAATATATAAGATAATTAATTCTAACATGTAACATAATAATTTGTAACCCATAACATGATATTATCTAACATCCAATTTATAGCATAATGAAGTCTAACATGTAACACAATAATTTGTAACTCCTAACACGATAATATCTAAGATCCAATGTATAACATAATCAACTATAACATGTAACATAATAATTTGTAACTCCTAACACGATAGTATCTAACGTCCAATTTATAACATAACCAAGACTAACATGTAATATAATAATTTGTAACTCGTAACACGATAATATCTAACGTCCAATTTATAGCATAATCAAGTCTAACATGTAACATAATAATTTCTAACTCCTAACACGATAATATCTAACGTCCAATTAATAACATAATCAAGTCTAAAATATAACATAATCATTTCTAACTCCTAACACGATAATATCTAACGTCCAAATTATAACATAATTATTTCGAATATATAACATAATAATTTAAAAAAAAAAAAATCGTCCGGTTGGTCGAACCGGACGGACCGGTCTCGACCGGCCGTCGCCGCCGGACATCTTTTAAGGCGTCTAGCTGTCCGGTTCGGACATAGGCCGTCCGACCGGACGAACTTTTCGGATGGCTTTTATGCCGTCCGAACCGGCCGGCCGGACGCCTTTTGGACCGTCCGGTTCCGGCGGTCGGACGGCCTAAAAGTCGTTCGATTTCGCCGGCCGGACAAGAATTTTTTCGTACCTCGGAATTTGAAAACATTTCACCGTACATTTTGCTCTGAGATGTTTGGAAAAAATGAAAAGGGCAAAATCGTCCAAGGAGGCGGTAAATAGTACTACTCAAAGGAAATTGTTTATTCACAAACCATTCTTTTAAGGACAAGTATGTCCTTTTACACACCATAATGGCTATAAGTCATTATAAGATGGTGGCTATATTTCACTTTTAAAAAAAAAAAAAAAAAAAAAAGTCACTTTATTTATTTTTGGAATTAAGCCTTGTAAATGCGTTAGACCCCTGGGATTGAGAGAGATGATCCAGTAAAGCGAAAATCACTCTGCCACCCATAAAATATAGAAAAAACAGAAAAATGAAAAAGAGAGTCAACAAAATAACTCATCATCAATTCTGATTACATTTTACCATGCCTCGTAAAATTCTCACTTATTTTCCCAATACTCTGTTGAATTTGAATGGTCTGCCACAATTTCTTCACGCATGCATGGTGACTAAAAGTGAGATTTCTTTTTTCAGGTTCTTATGCACCCAATCTTCCTTTTCCCTCTTCATTCTTTGCAACTGATTTGTCATAAAAAATTAAAAATAAGAAACAGGATTCATTCGTTTTCCTTTAACTGTTTTTTATATCCATTATAGATTCGTTTAGTGATTTTGATTTATTTCCTATATTAGCGATGATTATGAGAATCGGCTTCTTATGATGGTCCAGGGGAAAGCATCAATTTTGTCAGGAAAAAAAAATCATAAACCAGTCATTGTTGCAATTCAACCGGCTTCATCCCCTGCATTGTTGGCTAATTTTATTTAGGATTTGCGCCTCTTTTTTTCCTTTTTCATTCGCGTTCGCTGCTTTTTACCTTCTTGGCTTGTATGTAAAATGTAATCCAGTGACGTATTAAGTAATTAAAGTTAGGATCAGGCAGCTGAACCACGTTTATCTGTATTACCTGAACAGGGTTTTCTGGACATGAAATTTCATCATATACTAAATGCACAAGTTGAAGTGATTCTGATTTCTTATCATCGTACCTCGTTTTGCTATGCAACTGGTCTGGCACCATGTTTGATTCCAGCTATAAGTCACAATACATTGGTGGCCAAAAGGAGAAATTTGTAAGGTAACAATACCCTCAACCTTTCTCGTAACTCCCCTTGTAATATCTTCGATATCCATTTTCTTTTAAATGAATATATTTGTGTCATTGGGACTCTTTTCAACATGTTATGATTTTATGTATTGGTGAACATGAAGTGGGTGCAATTAAGATTTCAGAAGCTTTAAACAACTAAAGGTCTGATTGGATATGGATTTGATTGAAAAAAAAAAAAATCATTGTATTTTTAATTCAACATTAACTCGACCCCACTATCCTCAATATTACCCTGCTACAGGTTGGATGACTTGGACTCTTTTAGATCAGAAATGGCAGCAAAGAAGAAATGCGGCGGGTTCAGCTTGGATGGGTTTTCGGGCCCAGCCCAGCCCAACAAAACGACCCCCAAATCATTCAGTCTGGGCTTCCAAAGAGGATCCGAGGGCCTCCTCACAATCGGACGATCCCTAAGGTCCGGAGTCACGAGGGCCGTGTTCCCAGAAGAGCTCATAGTCTCAGAGCGCAAGATATTCGACCCTCAAGACAAACAACTTCTATTGTGGAACAAGTTGCTGCTCTTCTCCTGCATTGTGGCCGTGTCCGTGGACCCTCTCTTCCTCTACCTTCCCGTTTTCCAGGAAGAGAAAATGTGCCTCCACATACACGCCAGCCTGGCGTATACCACCACCACCCTCAGAACAATAATCGACGTGTTTTACGTGGCCAGAATGGTTTTGCAGTTCCGCACGGCCTTCATAGCGCCTTCGTCTCGAGTATTCGGGAGAGGAGAGCTCGTGATCGACCCTAAGGAGATTGCACACAGATATATACATCGCTACTTTTTCGTCGACCTTTTCTCGGTGCTTCCTCTGCCGCAGGTACAGGGGATCCCACCCCATTCAAGGTGTTGTATGTGTTT